AGAAGACACTTCTAGTAGTGCATGATGATTGGTAGATTATAGAGAAAGCCTAAGATAAGCCAAGCAATGGGTGAGCTCTATTCTTAGCGTAGAAGGATAACTTGACAGATTTAAGAAAGAGAGACAACTCTCTTTCTCATCTATTGAATTTTAGATGATGATGGATTTAAAAAGATCTTAAGTGTTACATTAAACAAGAAAGCATGGGAGAAGCTATAAGTTTTGTACAAGGGAGAACAACAATAATATCAAGTCATTATTCCACTATTTAACGTTGACTACATGAATATTTTTTACCCATTATGTCCAATTAAGGGTCAAATGCTCATTTAAAAATATTTAAAAAATAGAATTTATATTACTTTCTAACCAAGTACTTTTAGGTTATATCTACCTTTCCTAACATTGGCCAAATCTAATAGATGTACTCTTCTAATCGGGTCATCGAAAGGCCAATGTTTTAATTTATAAAGCACTTAAAGGCAACTCTTAAAAATCTTATCCGCCACTGGAGCTACTCTAACCTTTCACGTATATAGTCATCTCGCATTCCATCTCTAAAAGAAATTCCACACATCCACTTGAGTATCCTTATCTTTGCAACACTTAACTTAATTTCAACACTCTGTGCCATCAAGTAATGCAGGTCACACCCCCATTATCTATAATTTTCCCTTAAGTTGAGTGGCACTTTTCTATCACACAATAGAACCGATGCATTCCACCAGTTTAAGCATCCAACTTGAATTCTACTATTAATTTTCTCATCTATTACACCATCACTTTGAACTATAGACCCAAGATATCCAAAACATGTTTTGTTTTTAATGTTTTGATCGTCTAATGTCACAATCCTCCTACTAGATTTATTTATACTAAAATTAAATTCCATGTATTTGATTTCAGATCAACTCAAACAAAACATTTTGACTGTAAGGTTGACCTCCATAATTAAAGTTTTCCTCTAACTCTCTCTAGTCTTATAAACAAGAAGAATAACATCAAAAAAAAAAAAAAACTCCAATTAAAAAAGAGAAGTTTAGAAAGGCTCAACTTGAAATCTTAACAAGTCAATTTGATGCTTTCTATATAAAAGAAGGTGAGTTGGTATCTAATTAATTTTCTATATTCCACACCATTTCTAATCAACAAAAAAAGGTGAGAAGTTGAGAAGATTTTTTTGATCAATAGAATTGCGAGTTGATAGCATCGCAGCTATTATTTTGTGCTAATAATCAACCTGATTTGTAAAATACAATCTAAGTCCTACTACATCACAATTTCCTCTTATATATGTAACAAATTGTAGGTTCTAGTATGTAACATAAGAAAAAGATGAAATATAGGTAAAATTTCAGAGCATAAAATTGCAAATTATAAAGCCCTTTTTTATATTCCAAAATTTATATAAGAATATGGTAAACTGAAGTACCTCTCCAACTGAAGCTACAGGATAACAATAAATGTCTATAGTATGCACCTTATAACTCCCTATAAGGTTCCTGTCCATGAATGTATTGGATGCCCTATTCACGTCTTCCAGAAAGAAGATCATTTGCTATTAGTCTTTATTCAAATTTTAGCAGAAATACCTGAAAGAAGAATGAACAATGTCCTCATTCAACTACTTCGCTTTTGAAATAGTGTTTTTTTTTAGAGATGCAAATTGCATTAAATGAAAAAAAAATATTACAAACTAAAGCAAAAAAAAAGCTAATAGCCATCCTTTCAAAACAAAGTGAAAGGAAGCCTTTATTAAAAAGAAAATTAAGCAAGATAAAAATATTTGAAAGATATGAAATTTCATAAAGAAAATAAAATCCTCTACTCCCTAGTTTAAACCAATTGTGGTGGAGGAGATACGAAAAATTAAAACAACCAAAAAGGTTGATTAGTATCCCAAAATTCCTGATTAAGTAAAAAAAAAAAGAATTAGAAAATTCTTAATTCTCAATATTCTATCCCCATCTTTCAAATACCCACAAAGCTTAATTTAAAACTGAAATAAAACTTAAAAAAACAACTAATAAAAGAAAAAAAAAACATAACATGTAATCAATGATCTTAAGGATTGCACCACCATTAGATCTTCACAAACTAGCCCAACTTCATACAAACCATGCTTTGAAAATCATGATACTAACCCATCCATCCGTCCATCCGTAGAACTCCAAAGTTCTCCGAGCATTTATCCCATTTCTCTTGATACTTATCATTGTCACCCATCATAATCTTATTTATGAGATAAATGGTGAGGTGCAACAAACACTTTCACCATGACTCCCCAATTTCCTTCCTCTAAGGCTTCCTTTGATTGGCCCAAAAGAATTCAAATATTTATTAAATTTCTTCTTATGATGAACTATTTTATTTGGCAACTGAAATTTTCCGACATCAATTTCATTATCATTCACTTTCTATAAAACATCCTAAGATCAACATCATTCGGATATGGATTTCTAGAATCTGGAATAGTTTTGGCATCATCTTCAACAAACCTGGCATTGGGATCTTCTCCAGCATTATCTTCTTTGATAACTCCTAACTTTTCCTTATCAAAAAACTCATCTTAATGAATTGGAACTTCAATTCCTTTAGCCATAACCTCAGTTCTTCCAGAATTTTGAACCAATCATCTGTATTCAACTGGAACAGCCTCTGAATCATTAATCTGTTCTATAACCTTAATTGAATCTCCCAAAAACATTCCTTCAATATTTTCATCCATATCAAGCAAATTGACTTGCTCAACTTGAACAGGAGTACTAACTTCTTCCAATTCTAATATCTTTCCAATCTCAGGGTGAGACAGGACATTAAGCTTATTGGAAGTTTTCATATGACCGTGAGAGGAGTAATTCTCATTGTTCCCAACCGAATGCTGAGCTACAGATTTTTGGTTTTGGACTTTCTTCAATCTTTTAAACTTAACTTGCATCCAAGGGCCATATACATTTGAATCTTCACTAACAGTTTTTTCTACACACAAAGCTTTATTCCCATTGTTAAGAGCTTCCTTCTAAGTCTTAATTTGATTTTCTTTTAGAGCTTCCGGGCACCTATCAACATTATGGCCTATCTTACCTCATTTGAAACATAAATATGATATTTTCTCATACTCAAGTTTTTGGAAAAATTTATCATATAAACCCTCAATCCAAACTCCATGAGATAATATAGAATCTAGATTGATTCGAACACATGCTCGTGCAAATTTCGTCTTCCCCATTTAAACATTTTTCCATCCAAGAACATTGGAACTCCTATCTTTGAAACAATCTTTGTAACATTAACCTCATCCCAACAATGAAAAGTCAAATGAGGCAAACGTATCCAAATCGGAGAAGATATACCTTTTAATGAGGTTGGAGAAAATTGAGGTGTTCAATTATCCATCCCTATTATATGTCCAGCCATAAACCAAAGTCCTCCACTCAGCACTTCTTCCATAATTTGAGAAGATTGAAATGAACACAAAATCCAATCAAGGCCCAATGAGGTGAGGTGAAATTTTCCAAATCTAGTCCATTGCCTCCTTAACTCATTATTACAAAGAGAAAAAGGAACTCTTCTCCCAAATACTTTAACACAAGAGATATCTAAAGTAGTTTAATGTTCTCACATACCTTATCCATTTTCAACTTTACTACATTTGAATCTACCTCATCTTCAGGATCTTAATCTCTATAGCTCACTTTAATATGATTGGTCTCAACCCAATCATTAACCAATCCAAACATGCAATTTTCGGGAGTAGGAAGAACATTCATACCCTTTTCCATAAGCTTTCCTTCATCTGCTCTCAATTCTTTATCATGAGTTATCTTATCTGAATTCAAATTCAAATTCATTGAATCCTATTTTTCTGCAATACATTCAGCAACAAATGGGTTAGCAAATCTATTAACCTTTAATTTGAAATCGATGGATGAAGAAGCTTCGCGTCATTAGGAGATCGTAAATCCATCTTCAGGGGAGAAGGAACATTCAAATCCTTTTTCTCAATGTTGTTTGATAATTTCTTTCCTTATCCATCACCAAGATGTCATCGCACACATGAGGTACACATCCTTCATTGATGACTAGAGGACGCTGATTAATCAGTCCTTCCCGAAATGAAACGACTCTACTTTGGGATCCGACATAAATTGAATTAATAGGATACTGCGTAGAGAAAGGAATAGAGGTATTTTGATCATCATCTACCGATGACCGGCAACCCTCCACCACCATTCAATCAAACTAGGAATTGAGGATCTGAATCAAACTTAAAAAAAAACTCAAGCTTTAGGCCTTAATTTGGAGGGTATTTGAAATAGTTATTTGAGAGCTTAGATAAGAGAGCTCAGATACTTCTTTTTGTAGCTTTAGATAAGAGAGCAGAAATATCTAAGCTCTCAAATAACAATTTCAAAAGCAAAGTAGTTGACTGAGGACATTGTTCATTCTTCTTTCAGGTATTTCTACTAATAATTTGAATCAAGACTAATATCAAATGATCTTCTTTCTAGAAGAAGCGAATAGGGCATCCAATACTACATTCTAGGAGAGGAACCTTATAAGGTGTTCTAAGGTACAGACTATCGACATTTATTGTTATCATTAGCTTTTGTTGAAGTGGTACTTCAATTTACTATACTCTTATAGAAATTTCAGAATATAAAAAAAGGGCTTTATAATTTGCAATTTTTTGCTTTGAAATTTTACATATATTCCATTTGTTTCTTAAGTTACGTACTAGAACCCTACAATTTGTAACATATACATTAGAAAATTATGATGTAGTAGGACTGAGATTGTATTTTACAACTCAGGTTGATTACTGGCAAATTTTTATTATTTCACTCCCTATTAGTATGTACCCACTATTTTTTTTGTTAAAAAAATACCTCAGTAAAACCTCTTTTTTTAACTCTAGTTTTTTTTTCTTTTTGCATGTATTGATTTTTTTGAATGCTAAGTGTTTTTTTTTATGTTCAATGTCTTTATGTGATTTGTCTGGGCAAATGATGATATAGATATAAAACAACCATTTTTAAGACTTGTCTATGAAGTATCATAGTCGAGCTTTTTAAAATTGATGCTCAGTCATAAGATTACATCCAATAGTCTCAAATTTGAGTATTTTAAATTGGACTGTGAATCCATAAAAAATAAGTGTTTTACTGAAGTATATGCTTAAGTTTGCAAAAAAGCAGCTCATTACTTCAGTAGGTTAATAATTTGGCACTAATCCAACTTCAAATCTTTCCCCTTAAATTTTGAAATATTTAGATGGTGGAGTTGTGGTGTAGTATGACCAAAAGAGCACTGTACAAATCTAATGGGTCTTATCACTATGTTTCTTGTAATACATCCAATGTTGTATGATACAAAATATAACTCAGTTCAAATGTTGTCTTGCTATTGCTTGTGGTTTTTTGTTTTAATGTGCTAACTTTTATGTGGTTTTTGTGCATTTATTATGCAATGTAGGGTATGACTTAACTAAATGTCTGATATTAATATAAAAGAATTGCTTGCATGATATGTCTATAAAGTTGCAAATCTGAGCTTTTTAAAATTGATCTTTAATCCAGAGCCAAACATCAAAATCAGAGTCTTACAAAGACTACCATATATTGTACTTAGTTGATTACCAACATGAAATGATATCTAATTCTCAAATCTATTTTACATTTAAAAGGGGCTTCAAATTATGTCAAGCTGAAATATGAGCCATCTACAAAACCATGCTATTTCCATTCAAATATGAACCTCCTTAATTTATATAAAATAAAATTGAAACAATTTTACATTTTTAGTTATACTAAAATAATACATGTTTTCCTTTGGGCTCTAGCCTTGCATCTTTATTTCAAGTAGATATTGGAGGCTTTATCTCACCTTTTTGAACTATTTCCTTTCTCCTCCTGGTAATAATTTTCAAGTCGTTATCTCTTTGTTCCCATTATATACTTCTTAAAGTGGTTAATATCTCAAAATACTATGATCTTTTAGGCTCATGTATTGTGATGCACTCTATTTTTAAGGCAATTGCTATTCATCTTTTGTTTATTCATTATTTAATATTTCTTTTACTTGTTAAATTGAATTCCTTTTAATATTATAATGCCTTTTTGACAATCATTGCTTCTTACAGAACCAACAGACCAAATAAATAATAATAAAACCCAAAAATTGCAATCAAAGAAAAGAAAATAACATTTTTTTTGGGAAATTTTGGGGTAAAGCCCGTATCATTGATCAAATAAAATTACAAGTAAAGCAAAAAAAATTTAGCCCAAAATCTCAAACAACAAAAGAGAGATCAAGGACTCTAAAGGAAGCAAAAGCCAACAAGGCAAAACAAACAAAATTGGCGAAAATGCCAAGGACTCGGGTTGCTCAAGTTGAGAAGCACGATCCGGGTCAAAATGCACGTGTGGGACTAAATAAGAGCAAAGCCCCTAGTTGCAAAAAAGACCATCCTAGGTGCAGCTAAAATACATCATTCATCATCGTCCTTCCAAAAACTCCCATCCAATAGTATGAGGCAGCCAATTTCTCAATAGAAGATAAGAAATTCCGCTCAAGAAAAGAAAAAATAGAAGCAACTTTCAAGACTGGAACCAGTGCCCAACCCAAAGTAATCAAAAATTTTCCAGCCATTAGTTTATCAAATGATAGCTTCCAAGTCAAAACAAGCCAAAAAGATCCCAGGTTGCTCAGAAACCAAACTAGCCAATGTTTAAACAAGAGGTCTTCCATGGGAATCAAGCTTGGCTAAAGAGATTCCAACCAGCAATATGACATAACATAAATCATAATAAACTGCCCCATAAGGCAACAGAAACTAGAACCTAGGTTACATTCTCCATCAAAAATAGCCAAAACAGCCAAAATATCAAATAAGCATTGAGATCTTATAGAAAAACCAACCAATGAGAAGAACATATATCCCAAACTGGGCTAACCAAGGGGCAATAAATGAGGGAATCTGCCACGAATCTAATCAAAATACTTCCAACTTTTAATCTTAAGTCAAATAACATGTTTGATGATTGAGATAACTTGATAAGGACTTTCCCATTTATAAAAAATATTTATATTGTTCCTTTCTCTCCAAATGAAGTAGACAGAACAGCATACCACCAAAAAATAGAAAAAAATTTCCCAAGTTTGCAATGAAAGTGAATTGTCCAGAAAATCAAAGACTTGAATTAAATTTGGCCTAAAAAAGGAAATCACCCATTGGGGGTAAGAGAGAAGAAATCACCATAAAGGGGAAATCACATTCAAATAGAAGATGATTATGAGACTATGGCATCAATTGACAAAAGATGCAATTTGATTGAGCATTAATGTTCCTTTTAATAAGTAAGTCTGAAGTTTTAAGTCACCCCAATATTTCCATCCAAGCATAGACATAAAATCTCAAAGAATGCTTTTTGTGCCACACAAATTTGGACCAAAGAACTTATTCAAACTGAGTATAGAATTGAGAAGTGAAAGCTTTGAAGGTCGGTGGCTTGGAGCCATCCTAGGTAACATCCGATTGCTCAAGAATTGGAATATTAGAAACCAATGTGCAAATATGAGCCGGAAAGTTAGATGGAAGAGTACACATTTTATTATGAATATAGTCCCTAACCAAATGAGAGGAGTTGTGATGAGGGTTGAACAACTCCGTAAGAGCTTTGCCATTACACCAAGGATCCCAAAACATTGAGAAATTATAATTTGGACCAATAAAGAAAGAGACTTTATCCAGAATTTTTCTATAAGTAGAGCATATGTGTTTCCAAAACTTAGTCACATAAGTAGGAGCATTCTTCCAAGGAGATAAATATTTAGCTCTAAGCCAAGAGCACATAATAGAGTCATTACAGAAAAGATGCCAAATATAAGAGCAAGCTACTCCAAAATAAATTGAGTCAATAGAAGGAATGCCAAGGCCACCCAAGGACATAGGAAGAGTAGTAGAATGCCAAGCAATTAAGTGTAATTTTTTCTCTTTGATGTCCCCATGATATAAGAATCTAGAACATAATTTAGAAATTCCATTTTGAATAGCTTTAGGAATAATGGATCCCCAAATCTAAAAAGCCAACCTGTTTGCAATAGAGAACTTGAGAAATTGAACCCTAAATACAAAAGAAAGAAACTTGACTTTTCAACCTTCAAGTAGAGCAGAGATTTTGCTTAGAAGAGGTTGAAAGTGAGTGAATTTAAGATTTTTTATGGAGATAGGAAGTCCTAGGTTGGTCAGCCATGTATCAACATGTGAAATGTTTAGAGTGCCACAAATCTCATTAATGAGTTGATGAGTGACATTTTTTGAGAAAAGAATTGAGCTCTTGGTAGGATTAATGTGAAGGCCCGAGGCCATATAAAATTGAGTCATGGAAACAACTAAGGAGTTGGCATTAGGTAAAGAGGACTCCTCAAAAACCAATAGATCATCTAAAAATAGGAGATGATTAAGATTATGCTCATTAAATTTGACTCCTTTGAAATGATGGGGAGAGGCTGCATCACTAAGACTGCAAGACAGAGCATCCATTACCAAGCAAAAGAGCAAGGAGAATGTGGGCAACCCGGATGGAGCCCAGAAGAAGAGTTGAAGAATCACTCCAGACATCTATTAAGACTGATGGAGAAATGAACATCCATGATTCAACCTCTAATCCATCTGATAAACATATCATGAAAGCCTTTCTACTTGAGCCTATTGAGTAAGAAAACCCAGGAGATAGATTCAAATGCCTTTTTAATATCATGTTTAGCACAAAATAATTTCTTGGAAGAGTTAAAACCTTTGAGCACTTCAAATGCTAAAATAATATTATCAGAGGAGATCTCTTATGGATGAAGCCAGCATGGGTATCTTGAATGATGAGGGGAAGAATGGTTTTAATTCTTAAAGCAAGAAGCTTAGCAATGATTTTGTAAAAAATTCTACAAGGGGATATCGGCTGAAAATCCAAAAAGGAAGAGACATGAGGGCCTTTTGGAATAAGACAATTAGCAGTAGCCTTCACACCTTTGGGAAGAAAACCAGTGTTGAAAAATTGTTGAACCGCATTGCAAATAGAGTAACTAATAATATGCCAAGTGCATTTGAAAAAAGTCAAAGGTGAATCCGTCTAGGCCAGGGTAAGAGTTGGAAGAGCCCTTAAAGACCACATCTCTAATGTCATCTAATAAGAAAGGCATCACCAAAGAGTTAACCATATCAGGAGAAAGCAATTTCCCCACAGGAACAGAAAAATCTTCCTCATTAGATAGTTTAGGGGAATTAAAAATGGATTTAGAGTGGTTAATGATAGCATCAACTATAGCATTGTGATCAGACATGGGGCCCATAAGGGTAACAATCTCTTTTAAATGATTCTAAATTTTCTTGCTCCAGATTTTAGCAAAAAGGAAACCAAGGTCATCCTCACCGTTAGTAAGCCAATTTGAGAGATCTAAGAAACCTAAACCGCTTGCATATCAATAAGCTTAGTATTGATGTTATTAAAGGAGAGATTAAGGTCCTGATATAATGGACTTCTTTGCAAATTAAGAAGGCAATGATGCTGCAAGGCTTTGAGTTCATGTATGGACTTGGAAATGGCATTGGAAAAAGCCCATTTTCTCTTTTTAAGAGCTCTTTTTAAATTTTGCAAACCTTGGTAGAGAAAAGAAGTAGGACAACAAGATCTGTACATAGCAAAAGAATCCACCACATCCTCCCAAAAACCTTGCATACCAGTCCATAAATTCTTGAACATAAACCTGGAGGGTTTATTGTTATTAAGGGTTGCATATATGATCAGAGGATAGTGGGTAGAGCAGATTGGAGGAGCAACCTGATAAAGAGCAGTGGGATAAATGTCAAGCAAAGATGAATTAACTAAGACTCTATCCAGCTTGATGTTAATTGGAAGATCCACCCTATTATTATACCAAGTATAAAATAGCCCAACAGAGGCAAGTTCTTGTAAGCCACAACCGAAAATAACATAGTTTAGCTCACCCGATATGCCAAGATAAATCTGATTGCCCCCAGCTTTTTCACCTTCAAGTTTGCTATTGTTGAAGTCACCAATAATAACCCAAG